TCATGCCTGTACTAGCAGCCACCTGCAAGGAAGCAAAGGGGCACTGGGACTATTTGCTGGAATGATGTGTTGGTCAGTGGTAGGCTACATCAAGAAAAATGTCTGCTCTTTGTCTGTTTCTACCTGCTCTGGAAAATTCGTAGCAGCTTTGGCTGCATTTGCTTTTCTGAGGAGGGGACAGGGGTGGGGGATTTTTGCTGGAAAGGGCTAGATGGCAGATTTGGTTCTGTTCTGTCTTCCATCCTCCTTAACTAAGTGGTCACAGCCCAGCAACTGGTGGTGCTGCAGTTCCTACTGCCTGTGCTTCCCTTGGAAGGCAAAACTAGCCAGGCTTTAGCAGATCCTGTTGTTTATTTCAGTCTACCCGTTATGCCTCTCTGAAAAATATATACCATGTAAAAGAGGAAAAATACCAACTTTCAACTTTATATTGAGACATAGAGAAGACACCTTGCTAGCAAAAAGTTATATCCCTGCTGCATAGGAAAGGTTTTCCAAGAAGCTGGAGAGGCAAAAGTTGCAAGAAAAAATTTACAAGAAGCAAAACTGTTAGAATATGATGGATTGAAAAGATTTGGGCAGAAAACTTTTCTGCTAAGATAGCTATCTTTTAGAAGTGTTAATTTTATGACTTCCTAAACAGTAGAAGTGTATAAATGCTCATCTTTCCAGTTTGATTAAAGTTTGTATCGATATGTCAGTATTTTATACAGCATTCTGTTGTGTATAATTATTTGTTGCAACATATGTTTAAACTTGGTATCACAGGACTTTTTTTTAGTCTGAGCAGATTTTAACTTAATTATAGAAATAGAAAAGGAGGAATGCCTTTTGTCATTCATCAAACATAATGGTGCTTCTAAATGAAATTTAATTGTTTTAATTTTGTCAGAAATTTCAGCATTTTGGTCTTCCATTCTAAACCAAAAAGATTTTTTCCCCAGTTAGAACTGTTTCTATCTTATTCCAGAGAGTGTGCAGGTGTTGATGACACTTTGTCCATTGCCTACATAAGTATCTGAGCTGCATGAAAGCAAATAGTAGTTGCCATGAAGATACTTTCTTTCTTTTCATCTAATTTTTATTTGCACTGGCAAAGTATTGTCTCTATTCTATGGGTCCTTTGAGATATAAACGGAATAGAAGTTACTCGCTTATACTGAGAAAGTAGTATCGGTCTTCTGCATGTGAAAATTCCAGGCTCACAGACTTCATCACTAGAAATATGACTTGTGACTGCTGAAATGGCTAAGAATTGTAGAGAATTTCTTCAAAGCTAAATTTATTCTTCTTTTCTTGTTTTATATTGCTGTTATTAAGGGCATTTGAATACATTATATGAATGTGCATGAGCAACTAAGAGAACGGAAATACTCTAAGTGCAGTTAAGAATTGCACTAATCTATTTCCTGATCTGTTCAGTAAGACTCCAAATATATCCAGTAGGAGAGCAGAGGCTTAGAATTTGATCCAGGGCCATCTGATCTGTTTTTTGTCAAAGAGGAAGTATGATAAAGGGCCAGGGACCTGGAACATAGCAGTTTCCTTTAACGCATTAGTTCATGTTCTTGTGATAGCATTGTAAAGTAGACAGGTAAGAGAACTTCTTCCCTGCTTTCAGATTGTTTAGTAAATATGCATTCTATTCCAGGTGGTTGCCATGTAGTGTAGGAGAAGCTTGGAGAATTAATTTCAACCAAAAGCTTTGATACTTCCTGCATTTTGAACTTGGTGATATAAATATATTAATTCTGATTAGCAGATCATCAGATCCAGCGAGGAGGTCCTTGTAGCCCTTGTTTCCATCTCATGTAAAGCTCAATCTTATATAAATAATATTTTTTTAAAATTATTTAACTCTGAAAAATTTGTTTTGAGTAAACATAATCAGAAAATAATTTGAAAAGTTAAATTAAAAACTGAGGAGCATGACAATGCATATTACTGCTGGGAAACACATTTGCAAGTACTTGGTGAGGCAAAATTGGCAAGGACTGATCTCATAAAAAATTGTGTCCAGAATCCACATTGCATACCCATCCGATCTGTAAGAAGAGTGATTATCGTAAAATTCGTTCTGAAGGACAGAATTAGTGTTCCTTAAGGTTGGTATTAATATATTCTGGAATAGCAGCATATATATGAGGCGTGCTAATTTATAGCCATACCTTCTGAACTTTCTGGGAGGATTAGCTCTGTGTGTGTGTACATGCACATACACTGCCACCCACTTACACGCACTGGTGGGCAAGATTAGTAGCTCTGTTATGTGACTGTGCACCATTAGGTAACAATAAAGATATCCCTCTACAAATTCTGTGCCATAAATCTGCATTGGTAGTAATTGCGTCAATTAGTGCTACAGAAGACATCTAATAGAAGAAATAGACAGGTTTTGTTGAGATTATTAAATGATTTGGAAAGGTTAATAAGCCTTGAGCCAGAAAATGTTCTAGACTGATTCCCTGCCCCCCCCTTCCTCCTCCCCCGGTTTTATAATACAGTATTTCAAAGGGCATTTGTCTCCAGAAAAGCAATTATCTCAAAAAATACTTCCTCCTAATATAATCTTCCTTTAATGCAGAGGAAAGCTAATTAGTTAACTTGTAGCTTCTATTATCTGTACTAAATTAGATAGTTTACTAAGTTGCAATTAGTTGCAATTTTCAAGACCTACTGAAAGTAACACAATTGCCTAACTACTTGGAAGAGCCTGAGGTTACAGGAGTAAGTGCCGTGACAAAATTTGCCTCTCTAATACCTGTTGTATTGATTTCTCGTTCAAGAATCAAACAAAGATTATTGCTTGTGACATTGTACGTCTAATATCCAAGTTACAGGAACTAAAAGCATAGAACATCATTTTTGCTTCTACTTATATGTTTATAACATAGTCACTTTTTTTTTTTTCTGGGCACAGTCACAGTTTATTGTTGTAAAGAGTTTCAGGACATGGTGCATCTGATGTTCTAGTTTAGGGTGGGGTGAATAGCATCCTGCAAGACCCCAGGAACTGCTCAGTTGCCAAAACTCAGACATCTAATACCACACTGGATAACCCAAGGTGCGCCTCCTGGCTTCCAGCTGCTGACCCTTATGTAAGGCTCTGCTCATGATATGCCTTGGATATCCTTGGATACCCTTGAAATGGCAATGAATTTCTACATTCAAGCTGCTGAGTTCCACCCCCTGCTTCCATCTGTCGATCAACTGTCTCATTTTGCTGATGCCTGTGTTTGGTCAGATGACCCCTACACTGAAAATCTTAAGAGCAGACTTTGTGGGGCTTTAAAATCATCTATTTCATAGAAATTCAGTAATAACAGTTATTGTCTCAACTTAGAAAGCTATAATTTAGTCTAATAAGCAAAATAATACATTTATTGCATCACTCTTAGTTAATAGTAAAAACAATCAGGCATGATTGTCCAAGAGTCAGATGTTTGATATTTTTTTAAAACAGACTGTCTATTTACCTCTGGTTGGGAAGGAGGTTTTCCCTAATTGTTCACTTTGATTTAATTGGATTTTAGAAGTATGTAAATACTTAATATTGTCTTTTTTATATTTTTTACTGTCTGTTCTGATAAGAGTGTCAGTACTGAATTCTTGGCACAGCTTTTGAACTGTAGATTTTTCTTATCAGGTTCTAGAGAGACAGAACAGGAGTAGACAAGGCTGGGGATAATGTATTTTGGTAATGAACCTAATTTTTAAGAGGTCTAGAAAACTCAGCAAAATTACTTTGCTGTGTTGAGGTTTTGCAATAGGATGGCTGTGGTCTCTTAGTATTGTCCCTGAGGTGGGTGTCTACCTGAAAAACATTACCCTAGGGTGCTTCAACACGGATTTTAGTTTTAAGAGCTACTAGCTCAGAAAGTCAAGGTGAGCAATCTTCCACAGTTCTACCTGAGGAAGGTAAAGTGCTGCCTTTTTGTTAGATTCTAATGGAATCGAAACCAACTTGCATTATTTGTAAAAGCCATGATTATATAATAAATTTCACACTTCAGAAAGTCTAACAGTATATAATTTAGTCTGGGTAAAATTGTATGATACTTTTTCATAGACCTGTGTCAAAGCCTGGACCCATCTGGCTTTGTACCAGCGGCGTAAACAGTTTTTTAGACCTGCTAGAGCTGTCAGTCCATTTTCTAAAATATAGAATTAATTTTATAGAAGCTATGGTTTTACCTTTCAGTTCTGATGATCTACCTACTGTAACTGCAGCCTTTTTCAGAACAAAGTCATCTCATATGTTTGGTAGATTTTTGCTGTTAAGGAGGACACAGAATTTCATTCCAGAGAGACAACTCCCCAAGATTTAAGTTTTTATCTTACCAGTTATTTCCTATGTATTGAAGAGATTCGGGAAGCTCCTGTTTAAAATTCCAGTTTCCAAATACAGGACAGGTAAATTTATATTGGATAAAGCTGTAAGATTTTAAAAATTTTTTAGTTTGGCCAGTGAGCTTGTTTGACAAACTGACTCTTCCACTTTAACTGACTCAGAACTGGCTTGTGTATTTTCTATTGAGATTGAGAATTTGGACTTCTGTTTTCTAGAGGTGTCAATTGAATAGGTGATCGTCTATATTTAGGAGTAAAAAGTTCTTTTTTGCTTGTTGTTTTCTTTCTCAGAAAACAGAAATCCACCAATTCTAATTATATGCCTAAAACAAACAAAGCTGTTATTGTTGTTTTTTTCTGTGCATCACTATTGTTTGTCACAGCCTGTGAATAATTAGGTAAAGAAAACTCTCGTTGACTCATAAAGAGGGGATTATGTTGACTTTTCGTAGTATGATGTAGTGTCAGTTGTTTGGCTGTTACCACCAGAAAGGAAGCACTTAGAAACAATCATACCGAATGTAAAACTATTCTGATTATATAAATACTACTGCCAATTTTAACAGTATTCCTTACACTGCCATCTGAGATGCTGGGCTGCAGAAACATTTTCACACTGTGCTTATGTACTGATTTTTTTTTATCCCCAGGTCCATTCTGCATATGACATTACCCAGTATGAGAATGTTTTTCCTTTGTGCATGATTCTGGAACAACTTCTTCAAAATGAGACAGAAGAAAGTAATGTTTCTAGCTCAGACTATGAAGGAGAAGAAAAAATCAAATTTCTGAAGAACCTTGATCAAATTATTCTTCACCTCTCAGAGGAATTCCCTCTGTTTTCTTTATATTTATGGAGAGTGAGTGTTCTTTTGAACTCAGCTCAAATGCAAATTGATTAAAACAAGCAGCCTACTTTTTAACAGTGCATTTGTTTTGGGAGTATACATTGGAAGGTTTTCAAGCCAAACAGGAAAACTGTTGTTATTGGAAAACATTTACTTTAAACTACTATTCTATACAGAAGTTTCAGAGATAATGTAATTTATTTCCAATCTTAAATATAGAGAAAAATGTAATAATCCAGGTGCCATTTTGAATAAATGCTGTTTCTTGTAATAGAAAACAATATGTTGGTTTTTCTGTACACAGAGAAAGTGGAGCAAAGAAAGTTGTTTCAGGTGCTGTTTAAAATAAACACTATAATTTTAAAGTCAAGTCATAAAATGTGTGTAAAGATTCCAAGTTAGGAAACCCTTGCCTGTCCTTAAAGAGTTGTATAGGTTCTGTGTAATTTAGATACAGTGTCTGGTTGGCAGAAATAGAAATGTTTATTTTTAAACTTGGTAGCTCATCATTACAAATACTTACAGCACAGCCTTTGTTACCAGTTTAATCAAAACAGTCATTACCTGAGCAAAATAAAATCCGGTGCTCAGTTTTACAACTCTCTTACACTCGTATACTGTTTGGCTTTCCTTGTGTATGCACAAGTGTGGGCACAGTAGGCTTAATTCATTCTGAGTTGAGTAATGATTTCAGGGATCTAATCTGAATAAATATAACTCATTTAGTGGTTGCTTTAAACCTCTCAGTTCAAAATTAATGAATGTTGATAAAATCCTCTTTGTGTATTTTCATTTTATCTAATTTTTAATTTTTTCCCCTGTGTGATGGTATTATGTTCATAGTTATAATTAAAGTAAAATATTTTAACAGCAATTATCTTAAACATCACAGGTCTTTATAGTCTTCAATAATACCGTAACAGAACCAGAGTATTTAATAAATCTAGAGGATAGATATTATGATAACTTTTATGATAACTTTTTTTCTAGTAGACAAACAACATTTTAATTTTATTATGTCTCCTAGAAATGCATATTTCCTGTAAATATAAAAAATTTTGAGCACTAGTCCTTATCCTTCCCCTTGCACTTGTTTCATCAGATCAATTTTTATGTCAAGAAAATTCTCTGAAACACCACTACTTTGTTAATTTGAATGCATTTATTTTGTAATAAACATTTACTTTATAAATATGTAAAATACATCGATATTTAGAAAGCAGGTGAATTGGCAGGTGAATTACTGTGACGGTGAATTGACTCCCCAAAGAGCATTTCTTAGTTTGCCACTGGCCACTGTTCTGGTTCTAAAACTTCATATTTGGTATCTCCTATGGTAACATTATTTAATACTTTCTTTTAGCAAACTGTTTTTCAACAGAAATGTTTGATTTACAAGACAAGTGTTTCTGAAAAGTCACATGACAAAGTGAGATGAGTTTAGCCAAACTAAAGAAAATAAATATGTAAGCTTTGGAGCTACTCAGAAACTACTGTGCCCTTTTTGTTACTGCTTTACTTGCTTGCTTGTTTGTTGTATTAAGGTAAGAGAATCAGTTCTCCCTCCTCCCTCCACAGCACTAAAAGCATGATTACAAAAACAACAAGGAAAGAAGTCAACAAAATGAGCTGTTATCTAATTGATATAATTTTCATTTTTTCAGAAAAGCTTCATTCAAAAGTAGTTTGTAAACAAAAGACACAAAACACAGGAGGATGCTGGCATCCGTATAATAGTAAAGGGTGTGTGTTTCAAGTCTCTAGTTCCAAACAACAGGTTCAGCACTGGATTGCACACCACTGCACATTTGCTGATTGACTGCCAAAAAATATTTTTGTCACTAGTAAAGCAACTTGAGCACAAAGGGACACACGTTTTGTTCTTTACAGATTGTAGCATTTTCTCACCAGCAAGCTCTCTAGGCCACTGGAAAAGCTATGGATACTTTGGGAAATATATTCGTTGCTGATAAATTTTGAAGTAACTGCTCACTGGAGACATGATTTTTGACGTGTTTTTTCACAGCATATAGAGAGAGGAGATGTTTGTGTCCAGAGATAGCATAAGTACATGGCACTTACGCTCTGACAGGGATTTGAAACAGTTATGCAGCTTTGAAAGCATTGAGGCAGGGTGAGACTGCCCTCGTAGTGTCATTGCAGCAATCTAGACACACGCTGGCCTCTCTGCAAAAGGAATGTCACATGGTCACCTGGGCTCTCTTTATCTCTTTCAGTGCAAAATTAAATAATCCAGTGAACCACATTAATGAGCACCTCAGCTTTGGTGGGAGCAATAACCTCTGCAATCAGAATACTCACTAGATTGTTGTCTCACATTTCTTGGCGAGATTTTTCACCAGGATGGGACTTGCCTCGAGATGAAGATGTGCAAAGGTAGACACGTGCATTTAGATGCCTCCCTGTGGTTGGGATGTCTAATCTATGAAACACTTGCAAAGCACCCCAGTGTTTTGGCCTGGGTATCCAGCTACTACCACAAAGGACTTCAGATCTTCCCTAAGTCCTGTGTCACATTTTCTCTCTTCACGTAGATAACCTCTGATACCCTGGAGCATCTTTAGTGGCACTGTCACTTAAAGTGTGTGCTTAGACAACTGAATTGAGCAGTGGTAATAGCAAGAGCTTAGATATACAGCTCACTGCCACAAACATCCATTTAAGTGTCTTAATGTGAAAACTAAATCCCCCCCTTTATTATCTGTTTTTTAGAGTACAAAATCCTAGGTTTTAATCCCTGCTCTTCAGACAATTTCTGGTCTTGTCCAATGACTGTCAGATGTAGCTTGAGTAAACATCACTGAGTTTTGTAATAAAACAGGATGACTGAGAGAGTCCCTGGAGGATTTACAACTGGGTTACAAGAAACCATCCTGCATCTTGGACTTAAACTAAGTCTTAAAGTACTTACTTAATAGGTATGACCACATCTAGCTTTTACCTATCTGACCTCCAGAGAGGAATACCAAACCCATAGAAAGTATCTGTGCTCTTTGCTGAGTGTAGGATGTCTCAAAAGAACAATCTCAAAATCCCATGTGCTGAGCATAACACATCGTAGAACTAAACAGAAAACACTTAAAAAAAATAACTTGGCCTAATCTGTCATTGCTCCCCGGAGTGTGTCACCTGAGTTACACTTACAGTTTTAGAATGGACAGTTCAATGATATTTCTTTTGTCTTGCAGATCCTTTTTGTAAATAAATGTACTTTGGAATTTGGAAAAATGATAAGTTTTGCAAATGCAAATTGTTCAGCCTTATAAATACAAATATATATATGCACATAAAATTAAATTATATATTTATATTGTTGAATTAGCAGTGCTTATTTATTGGTAGCCTAATATCACTTTATGATTTTGTAGTTTGTTTTTCTTCCACATTCTTAGATTCCTGGGTGACTGTCTTTTCTGCCTGTCTCCATCTGTTTTAAAAAGAATTTTATGGTAGAATGTCTCTTTTTATGAGAGTAGAAAAATTATGAGACAAGGAAAATAAATTTTTATTCTAGTGCTGTTCATTCACTGTTCTATTCACTGAAGAATTTTACATGCCTATTAATGACAGCAGTGGGTGGGATTTTGAAGTGAACTGTCTCAGGATATTTTTGTAAGCCTAATTTGGAATCTTTTCATAATATGTTTGTCATTTACTGATTTTACAAGTTATTGCTTATATATGTTGGCAACAGTGGGAAAAAAATTGTACCTTATTTAATCTTGTAATAAATATTTTTTTCATTCAGTACTGGTACAGAGTAACACTGTATAGTTTACTGTGGTGCAACATTCAACTGTGTTCACATAATCTTAGGAAAATCTGGGTTGGAGGAGACCTTAAGGTATCCAGTCCAGCCTCCTGGTTGAATCAAGTTTAGCTGTGGGGTCAAAACAGTGTTGGTCAAATCAACATTGTGTGTTGGTGTTTTAATAGTCAGTCAGGTATTGAAAACTTTCAAGGACGGAGACTGGATAACCTGCTTTTCTGCTTGACTGTCCTCATGGTGAAAAAATGTTTCCTTGTATACAGTCTGAACTTGTATATAGTTGCTTCATTTATGACATGTCTTCAGTCTTCCCACCACCCAGAGCCTGGACCTATCTCCTTGATACATTTCCCACAGGCACTGGAAGCTGCTGTTAGGTCCCCTGAAGCCATCTCTTTCCCAGACTGAAGAAGCCCAGCTCCCTCATCCCAGCTCACAGCACAGATGCTCTAGGCCCAGCCATCTTGGTAACCCTCTGCTGAACATGCTTCAGTTTATCAGCATCTTTTTGCTGGGCCCCAAAATGGGCTGTAGTAGACTAGATGCAGATTAACGAGTGCTGGTTATAGGGAGGTAATCCCTTCCTCAGCCTGTGCTCCTTCTGACACAGCGCAGGATGCTGTGTGCCCTCACCACTGCCATGGCCACTGCAGGTTCACAGCTTCGCTGCCCGCCAGGGCCCCCAAGGACTTTGCCTGCGGAACTGCTCCCCAGCCAGGCACTCCTGTATCACTGCAAAGGGCTCCTACTTCCCAGGCTGGACACTTAGCTCTTGTCCTTCCTTTCATGATCTCCTGTCAGCCCATTCTTCCAGCCATCATCGTGCCCTCCAATGACATCCATGCCCTCAAGGACTCCGAATTTCTGCAAGTGTGATAAGGGTCAACCCTCCTCCAGGTCACTGGTAAAGTTGTTAAACAGGACACATTCCCTGACAGCTTCCTCTGTTTCTCTGCTTGTGACAGGCATCCAGGTAAATTGCAACTACACTGTGAGCTTGATCATCAAAGAATTTTTTTACCCACCTGGTTTTTAGTCTGTCCTTGCTTTGCAAGGACACTGACCAGTTTTGTCAGCACCCATGTATCTAAACCACCTGATTCCACAGTGGGGAGATATATGAGCTGAGATATGACAAAAACCATAACTTGATCTTGAGCTACCCCAATAGTCCCTGCCACTGAACACGTTCACCTAAGCAGGAGGGCCCAGGAGACCTTGTTGAACGCTGAGATTAAAAGGGCATCAAGTTTCTCAGCCTAGTATGTGCCTGCTATCACAAAAAGTTTCATCCTTTGAAAAGGATGAAACTTCCATTTGTTCACTTCCATTAGCTTTGAACATCAGATTTGTATAAAATTATTTAATCTGAAATTCAGTTTAGTTTAGCTTGTTTTAAAAAGCTATAGGTTTAGAGGTCATTAGTATATGTTCATATTTTATTGATCTAGACAAGGGAATTTAGTCTTTATATCTCTTGCTGGTATAGGAACAGAGGACTTGGAATGACTGTTTCATCAAACAAAAAAATCTTACAGCTTCTGCTTTTTTTTTTTTTTTCTTTAGTTCTGCAACCCATGAGCATGGGTCTAGCCCACAGGGGCAACTAAGTGGACCAAAACAACTTCTCAGAGGTGGAAAGCCCTACTTATAACTTGTTTTACACAGTGAAAGTGGAGGACGTTCTATAGAATTCCCAGCTTGCAAGGGAACACTGCAGTGCTCCTTGTCTGCAAGGTAAAATGGCAGCAACTTTTGAGCAAGGGTGTTAAAAATACAGTATTGACATGCAGAACCTCTTCTAGCTCTTGCACAATTGTAATTCCCATACCTGTCTTCAGCACCCTCTTACCAGCAGGGGAAGCATCTGAACCCAAGAAATAAGACTGTGGAGAAGATGAAGAAGGCGGTCTATATTAACAGGACCCTTTGACAGTGCTGAAAGAGCTAAGGGAGATTAGGAGTATGGGACTATCACATGGCTGAGTGACAAAGTGAGACACAATGTGAAGAGATAAGTACTCTAAAAGAACATCATTTAACCTCTTCACAGAAAAAAGGGAAAATACAAGGGCAAAAGCAGATTGTTTTTGTAGTAAGGTATTGTCACTTCATTCCCTAACGACCACAAATCTGACTCCAGCTTCTTCAATTCTAACCCTTTAAAAAACCAAAATTCTTCATATCTCACTGTCCCATCACAGAGTTCAGTGATGTGCTTAAAAGAGAAGCAGTTAAGAACTTCAGTCAGATAATAATCAAAGGACTACATTAACATGGGTATCTTACTCTGTTTCAGTTGAATAGGGAAAAAAAAGAGCAAATGTTTTTAATTATTCATAATGCTAAGCACAAAAAAAGCATAGGATGTTTGTTTTCATTCTCTAATCGGCTGTCCATACGTTTAGAGCTGAAAGAAGTTTTGTATACTTTATGTTTCTATAGCTGTATACTTGTAGCTTTCCTGGTTTGTACTTTTTTTTACCTGCCACATGCTAGAATGGGTCTTTTTCTGTTCTGCAGTTCTTAATTGCCTTGAGACAGTTTCTGCAATTTCATCCAGATGGTGTGCTTCACTTAGACCCTTATTAGATCACCTCCTCCTCATATAAATTGTTCCACTCTCCCTATATATTAGTTTTCCCTATTTGCTTATAAGTAAATTCACTTAGTCTGCACCTGCTTTCTTAATTGAGCAAGCAAAGTTAGTTTACAACCTCGCTTTAATTAAGCCATTCTTTCAACGTGATTTCTTTACAACTTGCTGTTTTCAAATTCATCTTGAATTCTTTGTGGTTATGCTCACCTTTAGAGTAGTTTTACTAGAGAGGCTCATCCTTGAGAAGAGCACTACTTACCAGGCTTGGGTTCATGTTTGAGACAATCTTTTTAAATTATACTTAAGGAACAGTCTCAGCAAACCAGGAATATCCCACAGTGAATAGAGAGAGTTCCAATACAAGATCTTTACTTGGGGTTGTTCTGAAGAGCAGTCTTCTTTCTTTTCTTATTTCTGTATATGCCATAGATTCACATGACTTGATGAAGTCCAGTTCAGCCACCTTAGAGATTTCAACTCTTCGGTAAACGTGGCTTAAAAAGCTGCATTCATCAACTTTTTCTCCAACACAACAGCATGAGAAACTGTACACTGCAGGTTTTAGTGATGATGTTGGTTACTCCCCTGACCCTGGCATGATGACACCCACAAATAAAAAGTATACTCTGAGGTATACGGCCAGGTTTGTACAGTCAGAGGAATGTTATGAAGTAAAAACTCTGGAGAAAGCAACAGAAATTGAAACTCCTGTAAATTACTATTATGTACTGAAAGAAGATAAAACATAGAAAGCACTTTTAAAAGGGAAGCACAAAGCCTAATCTGTTTTCTTGGAATATAAATTGGCTCCATTGCATTAGTGAAGCATTTACCTTATATTTCTGCTGAATGCAAGTAAAAACTGTGTCAGCCTAATTTTCTGTTATCTTTTCGACATGCAGAATTATCAAGGGTTTACAACCACTGAAGGTTATGAAGATACTTATATACTACACTTTTTGTTACCTGAGGAAAATACTGGGTCATTGCTGAGCTTCACAGCCCTTCAGTCTGTCTTCCTCTGGAAAGCTGCTGCTTTTGGCCATTGCATATTCTGAACTTTGTCTTTCATATTAGAGATGAGGAAATATGTCTTGAGCCAGAAAAAAGAAAGAATGAAAGATTAATCTTGTAGTTTACTATTTTTCTTAGTCACTGTACTCTTTTTCCTTTGGGAAGCATGGGCTGGTGGTGGAGGCAAGAGAGCTAATTATCCCCAGGTGGATTCTCAGTACCTGTTTTCAGGACTTCTGCAGGATATCAAGATGCCTCACTGTTACCTCACTGGATACTTGTTATTCATATTGTAATGAGTCCTCTCAAGATCAAGGTTCTTTAGACCTTAGCGATAAGAATGTTTTCAAGCTAATCTTTAAATTTATTTTAGTAGCCATCCATAAAAACTATTCCAGGGTCTGAGATAATTCCACACTGACCTTACTCTGAGGCTGTCTTGTCCGCCAATACAAGGGAAAGCAGACAGAGGAGAAAAACAAAGAAACAAAATTACAAACCCAGAAAGTGCCAACTCCAGAGAAATTTTCTGAAAGCCTTCAGCTGTGTGTCATCCTTTTAAGAGTCCAAGCAGCAAGACCAAATCATGCCTTTCAGGGTCGTTGCCATTAGGCTGGAGCTACCATGGGCAGTAGGAAAAATGTTCCCACAGCCTAGTGCAGTGTCCTCAGCACTGCACACCTCTGGGATCTGCAGCATGAACTGGTTTGGATCACTAGGGCAGGCACCCAGACACTTAGCAGGTAGTTCACTACAGATCTTCTTTATAAAATTAAACGTAGTCTCCTTCCTAAACAGAGAGCCAGTTGCGGTTTTTCTTTTTTTTTTTTTTTTTTTAAAAAAAGCAGCCTCTCATAACTAGGCAATGTAGATTGCTCATATCCCATTCACTATTAATTTTCCCTTATTTATCACTTTTTAAGGCAAACAAACAGTTTCAAAGGACACACTCTTTTTTCTCTTTTCATATAAATGGCTCTTTTCAGTAGGGAGACTTTACAAGAAACTATGCAACACTTTAAAAGTTAGGCTGCCACTACTAGAATATAATAGATTTTTTAATAGAATTTTTTGTGCAGCAATTTATTCTACTATTCAGAAAACAGATTGTATTATTTGATCCTTCAAAAGTCTACTCATATATTAGAAGCTAATAGAAGGATAAAGGAAGCTGGTTCCATATGAATACCCCTGGACTCCAAATTCCTTGTTGCATTAAGCTATTGTTGAAAACATTTCTGTGTGATGTTAATGCGTGCTCTTGAGTAGCATACACTACTTCACTTTTTTTCCTTCTAATGATTATATAAA